ACTATTTTGCTGTAATATTTCCCACCTTCACACCCGTTGGCAACAACGTTGGTTCTACTATGCTCGGCAACAAACTTCAGTCTATTAAACCGAGTATAGGTTACTGGCCGTCTTCTTATCACCAGTGTCGAGGTTGGGAGACTACTCTCTCCCGTCTTCGCATTGGCCATACTCGTCTTACTCATGGATATCTCATGGAGAGGCGTCTTGCTCCTCTTGTGAGAATTGCCAAGCTCCATTATCAGTCAGCCACATTCTGTTGGACTGCCCACTTTATCAACGAGCACGCAGAATTTACCTCTGTCGTCGTCTTCGCCCCGCTGCTCTCTCTTTACCTTCCCTTCTCGCTGATGGACCCACCTTTCATCCGGACTCTCTCATTGACTTTTTGACAACGACTGACTTACTTCACAAATTCTGATACTTTCAGCCCTTTCTACTTGTATCTCTTGCTACCCTCTACCCCCGTACTATCCCCTGCCCCACTGTTTTCTGTAACCTGCTGATCATCCCCCCTCCCTTCTGCCATCCAATTCCCTTGCTTCCTTCCCTACCCTGCAGCGCTGTATAGCCCTTGTGGCTTAGCGCTTCTTTTTGATTATAATAATAATAATACTCTGGGGTGTATTTATCATGTTGATATGTTATGTAGTATGTTGATTATATAATTTTGAAAAAATATCCAAAGATGGATTAATGAAAATGTTTATATTAACATAATATACAGCATTATTATTATTAGTAGTATTAATAATACAGGTCCACATCCCTTTATCCAAAACCCTTGGGGCCAGTAGTGTTTCGAATTTCAGAATGAAGGTGGGGTCTAGGGCAGCACCCCATAATCACACATTAACACTGCAGCAAAAACATATCAATACTCACACTAAGTGGGATAAATAAAGACTACAAATACTACTGTGGTTTATTTATAGAGTAATATAAATGAAATAATGGGATAATTATAGACCAGGAAATGTTCTCAAGACGAATTAAAGGGAACAGATTTTTAAGACTTCGTGTCATCTGTCTTATTAAGTAGGTTTCTTCTAAGAAAATCTTTTGGGGTAAATTGCCTAATTTTCTTGCTCAGATCATGCACGTGTTCAAGGCCCAGCATTAATGATCCACCTTTTCCCCCATTGTCTATGGGGACTTTTCACCTGTGTTCACAATGTCACCATCATCACTATGTTCTCATGTTTATTTGTATTTGCACACTTCAGGAATTTCACCATCACTAAAGAAGCACAAGGTGCATATATCAATGTTCAGCACGATGTCAGCTTCTGTAACTTATTAACATTTGTCTGAAAAAATTTAGTGCAAGTTACAAGGTTTGATTTTCTCATCAGTAAGATGACAACATATCAAGCTCTGCGTATCTACTTTCTGCATTATTGATAATTAAAATTGCTTCCTTTTCTTTTTCTAAACTGTTATATAGAGGTATTGACTCTTTTTGACATTTTCATAAATTAGTCACAAATTAAAACAAAATATCAGCGAACAGCAGATGCATGTGTGAACACTACAAGCACTGAGATGCAACTGATGCCTGCCAAACTGGTTGTCAGTGCTAGGTCACGCTCCCACTTTGGAGTTATGCAGAGATGACTGATGCTCCACACTCCACGAAAAAACTTGGTTTTTGGGAACTTTTCAAATTTCAAATTTGGATAAAGGGGTGGTCCGTATAGATCCCAAGACTAATAGAACAACTTAAGTGATTTTAATGTGTACCTGCATGCCAGCATAGTGTGCAAGTTTATTTAGATAAAAGTACACATAAGTATAATTAGCAGAGTATATATAAAATATGAAAACTTTAAAACAATTGAAATTGAAAGTTTTCGGACATAAATGAGAGTTTCGGAGCTCGTGGAGAAATGTAAAAAAAAACCGGTGGGGGGGGTGACAATTAGAAGACAGGGGGGAAGCGTATAGCAAAATTTTGGTCATAATTTGGGAATCCCTGTATTAGAGGTACATGGTCCTCAAAAAAACGCCGGCTGAAAGTCGTCCATTTCGGAAATTAGTCCTGTTTTTTCGTCAAAATATTGGCTCGAAATGGCCCGGTAACTCGCTAAAGTCTTCGTCCCGGACGCTTTACTCATGCTTGAGCCGCCTTGGCCTTTCCTTCCAGCCAGTGTGCATTGTTTACAAGTGAGTGAGGGTCCCTCACATGCTCCTACAAATATTTCATAATATCATTGATTTAGTCTTGCAAGTGCTAAAAAAGCTACAGGGCTCCAAATAAAGCTTTAGTCCAGCCTTGGATAAAGAATGTGAGAAACACAAAATTTTATGAAAAATTTGTAGAAAAAAATATAAAGATTTTTTTTGGTGGTAGGTGAACAGTGTGATAGGTTGATGAACATAAGAAAGGAGGATCACTGCAGCAGGCGGGTTGGCCCATGCTCGGCAGGTCCTTTAAAATTTATCCCACTAACGAAACATTTTCCCAACCAGTCCTCAATGCTCCCCAAAGGAATAAGCTCTGAAATTTCTTAAACTCATTTGCAAGTCCCAAATGAGTGGATGAGTTATCAGAGCTTATTTTTTGGGTACAGGGGAAATGGTTTGGGAAAATGTTTTGTTAGTGGGATGAATTGTAAAGGACTGCTGAGCAGGGGCCCAAAAGGGCATGCGCAGTGTTCCCCTCTCTTATGTTCTTATGTTCCATCAACCACTAAAACCAACTGCTTCCTCTAGACCACCTCTTTGTATTTTTCTACAAACTTTTCCATAAATTGTTTCTCACATTCTTTACCAAAGGGCTGGCATAGAAGCTTTCTTTGGGGTTTAGTGATGGTGGTAGAAGGTTAGTGATGGTTGTAGAGGGTTTCTTTAGTGTTCAGCGATTCTCCCAACTCCTCCAATGTTGTAAAAAAAGTGGTAGAATTACGACAAATTAAGTAAAAGACACAAGTGCAACTAATGTGACATTTTATTGTCACATTAGTTGCACTTGTGTCCTTATCCTCCAATGTTGTTGGAGTTATATAGGGCTACAAAAACCACCGCCGCCTCAGCTGCTGTTTCACCACCATTAGGATGGCTTACACTCAGTGCCCTTATATACCCAACAACACAACACAACACCTCTCGTACATACGTAATGGCTTTTTTATTCATTCTAGAGTATATTCCATGTTTTCTATGTTATTAATATTGTTTTATTATGTCATATTAGTTGAATTGTGATAGATAAATAAGCCATAGAGTTGATATTAGTGTCATATTCTCCAACAATAAACTTGCCATCCCTCCACACAAACAAATAGCCAATAAGAACATAACAATGGAAGAACACTGCAGGTCTACTGGGCCCCTACAAGGCAGTCCTTATCAAATGACCTCCACCCAAAGCTACCCCAAAAATTTACTCCGTACCCAATGACACAAATCAAACTCGGCTCCTTCAACTCGTATATTTGTCCAATCTCTTCTTAAAGCTACCCAAGGTCCTAGCCTCGATCACCCTACTGGTAAGTGTGATGTTAAATAAGAACTTAAGAAAGTAGGGACACTGGAACAGTCCTGCTGGCCCATTACTAGGCCGGTCCTTTACAAATCCAACCCACTGACAGAACAAATGCAACCCAAACAATAAACCCCAGGTGCAAGTCCGACTCAAATCCAACCCCTTTCACTTTTGTATTTATCCAACCTAAATTTGAAACTACCCAAGCCATAGCTTTTAGAACATTGGAAAGGAGGAACACTGCAATAAGCCTGTTGGCCCAATATAGGCCAGTCCTTCACAAATCCAACCCACTACAGAACAAATGCTACCCAAGCAATAAGCTCAGGTGCAAGTCAGACTCAAATCCAACCCCTTTCACTAGTGTATTTATCCAACCTAAATTTGAAACTACCCAATGTTTTAGCTTGATCGCCCTTTCCCAGGCAGACCGTTCCACTCGCAACACCCTATTACCAATGTTCATTTATACATTTTATTAGTGCCCTAGAGTCCTTATGGAGGGGGATTCCCCTTCCAAATAACCTCTCTTCCCTCTCCTCCTCCCCGTCTTCCATTCATCAACAGCCTTCAATAAAGGTAACTGTCATGTTAAATGTTCGTTCTTTTGTGCACGTAAATCTATCGTTTAGGTAAAAAAAAAATTGTTGTTGGTACTTCTGGGTTTCTGGAACGAATTAATTGGATTTACATTATTTCTTATGGGGAAAATTGATTCGAAAATCGTCCATTTCGATAATAGTCCCACTTCCAGGAATGGATTATGGACGATTATTGAGGGACCACTGCACTATTGAATGAATGTGTTAACTTTTTTTTTTTTTTTTTTTTGGGGGGGGGGGGAGGAATACCCTACTTTATTGGGAGATGGTATTTAAAAAAAATTATCTACAGTAATTGATACCCTATTCATTGGCTCACCAAGGATATACTGGACAAGAAAAAAAATGTAGCATGACATATGTGGCAGACTACCCGGTATCTTGATTTCATAGGCCTGCTGCATGCATGCGGCATTGCCATTTTCTGGGTGGTGACCTCGATTCTCTGCTTGCATTTCCTGGTTAAAAAGAACACAATGCACTTTCCAATATTCAAGCATAGATATTGTGTCAGGGATACAATAGCAAGCGGTAACCTAGGCGAGTGTAAATGTGGTAATTATGATCATTATTACCTATGCAGCCCCTGGTTTCAACTGTTTAGCAAAGTGTGAAAGCCAGGCAGGTATACCTTTGCCTACCTAACATCTACTGCAAAGATTCTCAAGAATAGAATTTGGCATGATTGATGTAACATCTCTAGAGCATCAGCAATTTCTGTTTCAAATTTAATTTCATTATATATTGAATTGCAGTGATGCTGCTAGTGGTGACTTTAGGAATGGTGTTTTCTTGTATGTATATACAGTAAAACCTTAAATGTAGTAGTGGAGTTCATTTTTTAGTTGCATCCCTATAAATGTATGTGGTAGATTCTACAGTTATTAAAGATGTACACAACACTATTGCAGGAGCTGTTGGGGGACACTATGATGTGCCATCGACACTTCAAAGACAAGCACGGGTAAAGGCATTAGAGGCGGATGCCACAAATCCCAATCTTAATATCTACCATTCTATTGAAAGTTTAAAGGATAATAGACTAGTGGATCACGTATACGATGAAATAAAACAACGACCACCTCCACCGAAAGATCCAGGTTTGTGTGTATATTTTAGAATTTGCATTCTTGTAAGATGTCTAATTTATAAGTGATAGCCAGTGTTAACAGTACTGATTATAGGATGTGACATCAGTTTCCTTAATCATGCATCATCTGTCTTTGTTTAGATATCCCATAATAAATGGAGTTGTATCTTAACAATGGACAACACACAATGTTAGTACTTTTCAAAATCATTGCAATCCTCGGTGTGTCAGCCTTGGCTCAAAACTTTAAATTGAAATGTCACACTGCTGACACAAATACAGAAAAGACATGCATTTTGTTTTGCAGTGTGTGAAAAACTTTGAGAAAACTTTTAGTGAAGAATTTGTTTAATTTTAAAATCCCTGAAAATAATTGAGTGTGCTTCCTTTAATGTATGAAGCATCATTTCCATTAAGCAACACATGATCAACATTGACAGTAAAGGTTGTCTGCAACATACATAAAAAAAAATTTTTTTTATTTTATTGCGCACATCATAGATGTGCATTAAGCTCACATCATCAAGTTCTCGATAATGTGAGACATCACAAAAGCACTTGGAATTTCATTATTTTTTCACAGTGGTAGATAAATGCTATTTGGAAAATTATTACAAACAATAACCTAAATTTTTAAAGAGGTGGATTGGTAAGCCAGTGGAGGACCTCGGTCAGATGATCAAAAGCTTCAGTGGCAGATCATCATGTGACTTAAGACCTACATCAGGAAATGCTTGTCCCGTTTCCTGATGAATCTTGACTAATCTTTGGAATTAAAATTGCCTGAAATTCAATACACACTATATATGTGGGAATGAATGTCTAAAATGCAAGTTTCTAAGAGAAAATAGATTCAGAGTAGCGAACACTAAACTTTTAAGCTGAATTTTCAGAAACGTGCATCATAAATTGGGGCCTTACTGTATACTGTATAACGTTTGTGAAGATGGGAAATAAAAGGGGTAGGAAAATGTGTGCGTCAATAGTGTTGGTGACCCTGTCGGGAACATTCTCACATTTTAAATAAAATTCTATACAGCACAGTAGTTGTAAATTTAGAAGTGCATCAATCCAAAAAAAAAAGAAAAGTGGACATTCATTTGCATTGGTTACATTCCTTAAACTATGCTGTCAATGATTTCCATGACATGTTGACTGAAAAACGTATGGGAAAAAATTGGGTTGCATTCCTTAGACTCCATTAGTAAGGCCTGGGGGAGTGTCTACCTTTTCCCTTACCCCTTGGGAGGTTCGTGTCAGTTCTCCCCTGCACAAAAGCTCTCCTACCTACAACTGCTTCTCGCTTTTTTCTTTATTATTTCCAGTCGCATGCTCATGCCATTGCTGTTTATATGGATGGTTCCAAATCTTCTGATGGTGTTGGGTTCACGGCAGTGTTCCCTGACGATGTTGTCCGAGGACATTTGTTAGACTTTGCTAGTATTTTTACCATGTGATCATTTCAGATTCCCTCAGTGATTTACAAGCCATTAAACAATTTGATTCCCCTTATCCATTAGCCCTTTGTATGCAACTTTGGTTGCACCTTGTGGCTAGCAAGAACAAAGACGTAGTTTTGTGTTGGGTCCCTGGACACATTGATGTGCAGGGCAATGAATAAGCGGATGCTGCTGCTGCGCAGTACATGAGCTTCCAGTTTCCTATAGAGGTATTCCATTCAGGGATTATTTTTCAGTTATCTCTGCCCGTCTTCATGGCAACAACAATGGTCGGGACATGCACCCTAACAGATTGTACTCGATTAAACCGCTTTTAGGTTTGTGGCCATCTTCTTGCCACCATTGCCGTACTCGGGAGACTGCCGTCTCCTGGCTCCACATTGGCCATACTCGCCTTACTCATGTGCCTCATGGAACGACACCCTCTTCCTCTGTGAGGTTTGTCGAGTCCCTATTTCGGTTCTTCGCTTTCTTGTCAACTGCCTGGTTTACCAGCGAGCTCGCAGGATTTACCTCAAACGCCGTCGCCACTGCCCTCCCACTTTTACCTTATCTTCCCTTCTTGCAGATGGCCCTGCCTTTGACTTACAATCACTTCTTGACTTTTTGTCAGTAAGTGCTTTACTCTACGAACTTTGACACACAGCCCTTAGCATCCCTTTCAGCCCTTTTCTCCCCTCACCTCTGATCCCCTTTCCACTTAGCTGTTTATAGCCTCGAAACTATTTTCTCCCCCACAGCGCTGTATAACCCATGTCAGTTCAGTGCTTTGATTATAATGATAAGACCTGGAGGAACCAGTTATTGAGTTTCATTCATAACATTATTGGCATAGAATAAAAAGTTGATGAATTACACATGTGCACCATCTGAATTTCTATTTTTAAGAGGTTACACCACCCAATATCTTTCCAGTTCATTAGAATTTAACTGATGACAGCATATTCCTTCTACAGAAAGAGCAAAGTAAGAGCATAATGATCCTCAAAGCCACCAGCGCTCTCATCATAATCATACAGTATTTTTTTTTGAGTACACACTTTTCTGTAATAGAGTAAAAAGGGATGAGAAAGAGTTGCCTTACTTTCATTCCTTGCTTCTTGTCCTTGTTAGATATAAAAATGTGTAGATATAGTTGATATGGTCCTAATCAGCCAAAATGGTTAACTGTAGCATCCACCTGTGGCCTTCATCTTCACTTCATCATAAACACTATACAATTTTCTTTTAATAACATTTTCACACTTTATTATCAGTTACCAACATATTCAGCAATTACATAAATGCAGCTAGCATAGGAACAAAAATGTGTAATTACAGCCTGATTGTTTCACTATCTGTGTGAATCACTTACCAGACATAATAACCACTTCCCACCTCTAACCACAGTTTTCTTAGAAATTATCAGTTTCACTTGATTGCCTTCTTGGGACCTCCAGTATCACTCGTTCCTTTTAGGTACCATGATTAATATCCAGAGATGAAGTAAGGTGATATGAATGAAAACAGAGAGAATAACCTAAGAGACTATCATGTAATGCATGTCTAGACAGGACTAGTTCATACCAAATGGTGATGGAACCCCCCCCCCCTCTCCCACCACCCCCACCCCCACCACATTGGCCTTGCCTAATTCAATTCAATTCAAGTTTATTCTCTATAATGGTTACAATGTGGGGTTTACAGGTTTTGGGTATTTTGTGGTTTACATGTTATAAAATACTAATTACAGAGGGGGCCACTAGGACACCTAGCATGGCTAGGCATTTTGAGCAGACTTAGATTAATTCTTAACATTAAATCCTTACAGATTATAGTATTAATGGGTAAAATTAAGTTTTTATTCAGGTATAGGTACACATAAATAGTTAGATTATCATACATAGCAGCATATGTGCAGATTACACTTCATAAGGTGATGCTATCCATTATTTCTGTACTGACACACCTTAATAGTAATGGCAAACTACTATTTCCAATGGAAAACTAAATTTAAATCTCAGAATATAGAAAACACGAGCTATGATAAAATTGTCAGCTGTATCGTGAAGAGCTTTTGAATAATCAGATTTATTTGTATGATGCACTTTAGTAAAAATGTTTACTCGAATCTTGCAAATTATTGGGGGTTAGGTTGTATACATTCAAATTTCTCCCAGGTCAAAAACAAATAATGTATGATAGTTTACTGGCATATTCCACAATCCATATTCCTGACCTGTTCAGTTTCAAAATTCACAATTGTCAGGTTTCTTTTATGGGTGGAGGTGCCCATGTCATTCCATAATCTCTTATTTTAAAATTTTCCAGGTTAAAATGGTTTCCTCTGAGAAGGGCATGGGGGCAGAGCTTGCAAGCCAGTCAAGGGAGAGGAACATTCGTGCTTGTTCAGTGGATGTGGAAATAAGCTTAGTTTTCTTAGCTCAGATTATCATGGTACCTTTTAGAGGAGAGTAGTGTGTGGATGGGGGAATGATGGAGGGGCAAGGAGGGTACTGAGGAGAGAATATGGGAGGGAGAATGGGAGGAGACTTGTGTGTAGAAAGAATGGAAGTAATTTTATTAATAATACAAGAATTAAAAAGTTTTGTTTTTAAAATTGTACAAATTGTGCATATTATTTTAAATTATAATTCAGTGAGTATGGTATCTAAATCACGAGGTGAATTAGAGAACCATGTTCATTACAATCAAATGAAACTGGATAAAAAAAAGTGGTACAAATCTATAAAATGTCAAATAGTGATGCATGTTTGTGTATATGTATCAAGGCAGTAAAAAATTACTAGGGTTTTTAGAGGCTTTTTTCAGATCTTTTAAATTCCCTGGTCTTTGGAATATAAGCCTTTTTATCCACTTCTCCAAGGCTATGGGTCCCACAATTTACACCAGAGGTTGACCCCATCCATTAATAAATATTTAAAGCATTATTTTATAATGTGCTTCCCTACAGTATGACTTATCAATCAATGCACTGAATTGGTTGTGCATTTTTCAATTATTTTTGAGGAATTTATTGTTATTTATACCTTAAACCTTCTATTAGTACTTCTGATACACATTTCTTTGAAATATTTGCAATGAAGAAGCTTCAAATTCTTGAGCCAGCTCTACAAACATCAAATAACATGACAGTTTGAGTAAATAGTGCTTAAGGTCATCCTTTAAAATAGGCTTTGGTGTTGTCAACTTATTAGGACATTAACATTTTTCCATCTTGTAGATTCTTCATCAGGAACAGTGTTACTTGTGCATAGATAAATTTTTGTCACAAACTTTGCTCCTGCTGCTTTCTTCGCTGCTTATAATTGTTTATTCAGGATACTGTTTAAATATGGTAAGCTTGGAAGTGTATTACTATTTCATTCTCTTTTAGTGAGCATTTTTTTAGCATTCTACTAGGTCCAATAATCAATTATTATTTAACATGAAGCAAATGTGAACCATAAGAACTCACTAAAATACACCAAAGCTGCAATTCTTAATTTTTTTTGTCAAAATTTTTTCAAGTTGCTTTCTAAACACACAGGAAAATTTGGTATTTTTGACA